ATGTGACACAGTTTGGCCCAATCTGTATCTCACAGTACCTCATATCTTTGTTTACTAAAGTTGGGCCAATAATCCAACCAGGGCTGAAGATAATCCTTTTCTGAGATTTTTAAATGATAACTTACCTCCTGGATCAATAAATTAGGTCTCCTCTTGAGAATGGAACAGTGACAGCCACTGAACTCAAATGTGGCTGATCTACCTAGGTTTGGGATTTTTTCTGGACAATGTGCTGGAATCCACTACTTATGACAACAAACTTTGCCATTTCCCTCCAGTTATGAAGCACGTTTCATGCCTTCTTGTCCCAACCCATGTTCCTTGTAGTCCACCACTCTTCTTAAAAACTATTGGAACTTCTTGGCACTGACTATTCACCATTCGAAAGGCAAGAGCCATAGGAAGTTCCAGCTGAGGCTCATCTATCTAAACACCTGCCTCGGGCATCTCTATCTTATGGCATCAGGTAGGAAGTGGGGCGATGCCCCTCATGAGTCTTCTGAGAGGTATACAGTCTTTTCAGTTGTGCCTGAAGATGCAAGGAATAATCATGCTCTTAGATATCCCTCAAGCCTATATGGATGTTTCTCCTGCAACAGTACCCACACGGACTGAACCCCAAGTGGAGGAAGAGTTGAGAATACTCAAGTCTGATCTTTAACCTTTCTTTCACTTTCAGGCCTCAGATGAGCTTCCTACTCTATCTTCTTCTTTAATGGAAACTGCCCCTATGTCATGTCCTCCTCCTCCTCCTCCTCCTTCCCTAAGTGGCATCTGCCCTTCCCTCCCCTTGGAAAATGATGTTGGAAAGGCTGCAGAGAAAGAAAGTAAATTTCCAAGATGGAAAAACAAATGGGAAATAGCATCCCTGTTACTCCAGCAAAAACTCAACAATCTTAGGTGAGTCTCCTCATATTTTATTCATTCAATAACTATTTACTGAGGAGGCAAAAACACAGTCCTTGCCTACAATAAAATTACAGTCTTGTGGGAAGGCCAGTGAGTATCCAACAATTACAAAGATCTCAGTATCTTTAATATTGAATTACACACTCTCAAGTCCATATGTCTTCCCTTAAAAGGTGAGGAAACCTTTGGCCGAGAACTGTTATCATACCCTGTAGCACCTAATACATAGCCTAATACTATGGTGCTGTTTTAAAAAAATGTTTGTTGAATCAATGAATCAATGAATCAATGAATCAATGAAAAGGATAGTGTTGTAAGAGCATATGCATAGGGCATGCTATGAATACACAGAACGGTTCCCTACTTTCACTGGGTTGAGGGATATGACTCAGTCAAAGAGAAAAACCTGGAGAAGATGTGCTTGTGCTAAGCCCTGCTGTTGAGCAGGTGCTGAGAGGTGGATTAGGCACGCTCCACACAGCTGCACTGTGATGAGAAGGATTCCGCCACTTCGCAGCAACTGCATGTTGGACCTGCAAATTGCAACAGTCCTAGAATGCATGTTGGGGACATGAAGGTGGTAAGTGGGCAAGACTAGACTATGTAGGGTCTTATGTGATCTTTCCAAAAGTACCATACACACCATCTAAAAGATTTCATTCTATAAGGAGAGAGATTTTTGTCTATTTGTTCCCCATTGTATCCCTTGTTCTTTAATCACTTCTTCCCCATCATTTCAGCTTACTCATGGTTTCAGCCAGTCATGGTTCCAAATCAACTTCAGGTCGGCCTTACAGCTTATCTACCTGGACTGCCTCGATCTCTCCGAATTTCCCAATTCCAATGACCAGGAGCATGAATCAGAT